TGGGACTACTCTTCAGCAAAAACCAAGTCCTTTTGGACTTGTCAGCTGAGAAGGACCCCAGAGCAAAGTGCAGAGCTGTAAGAAACCCAGACTAGGAGAAGGACCCAATAATTTCCAAATAAAAGGTATTCTAGAGACAGGTGAGGGAATAGTGATGTCTTTATTTATTGATAAACAAGTTGAAATACCTAGGTGATGATTATCTGAGTGGGCAGAGGGCATTATCCAGTGCTCTCGAGAAGCAGGTAGAGATAGAGGAACAGAGGCCCCAGGCAGTGTAAGAGGAGAAAATTATGGCTGAGTGAATAAAGCAAGAAAAAAAGTATCGATTTTCTCCTTTTCTCCTTGTAAGAGAAAAAAAAACCAAAACAAACCCAAATTCATTTATATGCCTCAATGAGAGCCCTCTGAAAGGCTGGGCATGGCCAGCCTCATGGGCACAGGCCAGTGTCGTAGGATTGGGTGGGGCTCTCTCCAGAGACCATGCATGGGCTTGTGTACACCAAATGTGCAAACCCACTAACTTGCAGTCGTGGCATCTCCTGCAGGGTTTTTTTAATTCCCCAGTGAAGAAATTGTACTTGATTTTCTTCCAAAATAAACCTCCCTCTATACCTACAGTATGTATAAATTAAATACCTACGTATTTGCCGCCTTTTCTTCCTGAAAACTTACTCCAACGTTTCTCTTATTTTTCATAGAAAACACAGCACTCACTATTCCCAGGTATGCCACTAATCCATTGTAACTGCTTCTGCCTGCCTGCAAAACACACCTGGCTGCCCTTGTAAAACGAATTTAGCATGAGCAATCACCAGGCTGTTTTGCTGAGAGCATTTCCCAGTCTTCAGAGCCTGTAAGATTCATTACTGGGGTCATGAACGTTGCTGAGAGAAGATTTTAATTCAGGGGTTCCTATTGCTACAGTGGAGAAAGTAACAGAGAAGAGCAGTTCAGAACGATTGCATCTGGTGTCACGCGAGGAGTCCCTATCAAAATACGAGATGCTCATAGGGAGGCATTCTCTCAAACAGCGCTGCTTAACAGACAAGGAAGGGTGCATGATGAACCAGCTCAGCAGAAATCATCTGCACTTGCACCTGATACCAGAGGTACCCCACAGCAGCCGGTCCACTTGTCAGAGAGAGGGAGAAAGACTTCCACAGATGACTGGACAGTAATCCGCTGAGGAGAGCTGTCTCGTTAATAAATCTGTCCTCTGCAATGAGACTCTGCTCACACAGATGTGTCAGTTCCTTTATTCGGAGGGAGCAGCCTGAAAAAGATCACGGCAGCTATGCTTTCTGTGAATGCCAGAGGCCGGGGTGAAGAGGCAGCAGCGAGCATCAGTGAGGAGGTGGGGTGGTGTGTCTCCGTGCTGCCTAGGCAAGTCCCCCTGTGGCGGCTTCTACCTACACACGGCAAATGAAGCCATGGAAGCAGGAGGCTGCCCTATTTGCCTGTGCCAAGCAAAACTGTCAATAACATCTATTTTTCAGGCCCCATTTGACAGATTGTACTGCTGGATGTTTCACGGCAATAAAGTTCCTAGAGCGTTTTTTTTTAACATCGTGCAAAGAACTTTTGAAATCCAGAGGAAGAGAGAACTTGTCAGAAAGCACAACTTTCTGCAAATTTTTGCATCCTGCTTCTCCAGACAATTTTTTTTTTTTTCCCTTTTCCTTTCCCAAATTCTCCATCACTGGAACTAAAGAAAACCCCAAAAATTCAGCTGTAACCCTGGACTTGCCAAGTTGCCATCTCACACAGGGTCAGCAAGGACATGATGTCCTCTACAGCCCATCTCCACAGCCCATCTCCTGGCCGTGAACTGCAATGCTCTGACTTCGAGTGAGATGTGCAAGAACCAGAGGAATCCTCCTACTGACACTGAAAGGACTGTGCAAACTAACCACTCCATCAGAGGATGGCAACTTTGCACATCGACTGCAAGGAGGATGCCTGGGCAGTCTTGTTCTCCCGCACTGACAGCAGATCACAGCACGTGTCTCCTGAGGTCCTCCATACACACAGGAAACAGGAAAGCATTCAGGAGCTTCACCACTGCTGCTCACATACCACAAAGCTTCCCCTTGAACATCTAACTGTGAAACAGTGCCCAAAAACACAATTAAAGATGAAAGGGGGCAAATTATGCATTGTAAAGTCAAATGACACTGACTCCTTCTTTCCATCCTTCATCTGGAAAATAAGAAAGCTGGAAGTAAGCTTCACACTGAATGAATGCCTTATATAACCTCACCACTGAGATATTCTACATACTATTTTGAAGTTAATAGAACACTTTCATTAATTTATAGCTAACCTTTTATCCTACTGTATTTTGAAATCTACTCCCTTATACTGATAAATAAACAAAGGAGAAAGGGCACTTTATGTGGCACCTGCCCTGCGAGTCAGGGAG